GGGGGGGGGGGGCCTGACGACGTGTCACTTCCTGTCTGTCTGCTGCACCCGGCTGCTCCACCTCTCACCTGAAGAACGAGTCTGTGCAGAAAACCTGCTGCCGTGTTGTTCAGGTGTGAAACACAAACTCTGGGTAGACTCCAGAGTGAAGACACAGGATCTGATCTACAGCGACACCGTCACACAAATCCCAAATACTGCCGAGGATTTTCTCCACAGGGCTCGACCGTTCACATGAATTCATCCTTTTATTGTTTTCAAGAAAACCAGTGTATGATACATCTTCAAGTCCCTAAAGTTTTTATGTGCTCCTTGAAAAGTGACCCTTCAACCGTGTTCTCCACATTCATCGCCCTCGGGGCAGGAGGCCCTCGCTGCTCTCACACACTCAGAGAATGTCAGAAATGAAACAACAGGTTCACAGTTATTTCTCCACGGGGTGTTGAGGCACTGAAGACGTTTAAATACCATCTGGGTTAAAGGGGGTGACCGCCCCGCTCTCTTTGGACGGGGGCCCAGGAATCCTCTGGTTCTGAGAATGATGGTGACATAGTTTATTTTTTAACTTATTTTAACGGACCTGGATTTCAGGTGAATTGTGCCTGTTCTGAACCGGGGATCCAGCTCCTGCTGACGACTCATGACTGACAAGGAGCTGTCTCAGTGCGCGGTCATGTGACCTGCTCTGCGTTTCCAGGAACACGAGCTGCAGAGCGGAGGTGTCAGGGGGCCCGTTAGCTTCTCAAGATGTTTCACTTTTAATTTACTTTTTCAGCCAAAGCTCTTTCCCTTCAGCCTGAGTCCAGTTCTCAAGCGTCTGTTTCCCAGAAAGCCGCTCTCTGTATTAGACATTAATATTTTCACATTCTTATTTCGTCTGGGCTACATATTTAATACATCATCAAACTCTGCAGTGTCGCCTCCGCAGAGCAACTTTAACGAGTCATTTCAGACTCACACTCAAACACAAGAGAGATCAGCACCAACAGGGAAGTCAGGACACACACGACAACAATGAGGTAACTTTGAGTCAGTTCATCCTTGAGTCTGAATCAACATTTGAACCAAATTAGAAGAAAGTACCTCAAGGTGTTCTTGAGATGTCACAGATGTACATGAAAACATCAAATATGCTTTCTGTCTTAAGACTTAACCACTGTTTTATATAACTGAGAGACACAGAGGGAACAGCTGGAAATATCCAGATGTGATATTAGGTTGTCTAAGGTTTGGTGTCCACAGGAAGAACATCTCACTCCCATCACTCATCCCTCTCTCTCATGTTTCCTGTCTGGAAACTGTCCAACAGAAAAAACAACTCTTCACGTCTTTTCCACAGTCTGTACTTTGTCCACACCGTGTCCTCTGTTGTGGCCTGTGGTGCTGACAGAGAGACGCAGTCTCCTGTCTCGGGTGGTTTGTACAGAAAGTGGCGTCTGGAAACGTCACTGAACGCTGAGACGTCTCAAGCTTAGCCTGTGTCTTATTTAGAGGTTAGTCCTCAGTTATGTTTGTACAACATCACCTCAAGATCTGTTCAACGTCAAATCTTGAGCTTGTTCAACCCGGACCCACTGACCTGTTGAACATTTCATCACCAGCTCACTACTGATCAGCCTGGTTCACCTTGAATCAGCCCGTTCAGTAAACTGACAGCCTGTTTAATTCTGATTCAACAGCCTCAGTGAACAAATCAACAGTTGAATTAAAGCTCAATCAAAATGAATTCATAATTGGTGTGACTGTGAAGTGACAGCCTGTCTGAACCCTGAAGGTGCAGCTCGATGTGACAGACCAGGCGAGACAAAGTTAGTGGGATCAGCTGAAAGACCCCAGAGCAGCATCATCATCTAAAAACAGAAACTGGGTTAAATTAGATTACTCTGTCAATGGCTCATTCACCGACGATGGTATATTTAGCTGCACAGCTAAACTCGTTTGTACGGCAGCAGTGTGCAGCCTGTGGCTTCTGACCAGGTTCAGTCCAAATGGGACGCCTCAGTGTGACTGACAGTTCACTGACGGAGGAGGGTTCTCTGACATTCACCCTCACAAGTCCACACGTCTTATACCACAAAGGACACGGAAGACGAAATATCTTGGGAACGATGAGGTGCTCGAGACTGACACTTGTTTGAGCAAAGGGCTCAGAGACACTCGTCTCCCTTTCATAGCGTTTTTAATCCACCTTGAATTTGACTGTCTTTTTGGAGACATGAATCCATAATGACAAATCCAACACTTTATGTTTTCCGTGATTATTTTTCCACTTCTCCGTGTTGAAAACAGTTACTGTTGCTGTCGGCACGGTTTTTAGCAGCCAACTGGAAGTCCCAAAATGCCTTGGGGTGAGTCTGTCAACCAATCAGAGGCTCTGTCTTAGGTCTTCATGTCTCTCTTGTTATAAAACCAGCATCCTGGTATTTTTACATCTTAATCTGTCTTTCCGCTCCCTACGATATTTGATGACTCATCCTTCACTCAGGGACGTTCACTCATTCTGCGTCCAATCAGAAGGCTTTCTGAAACTTGTGACTTTCTTCCTGTGATTATAAATTCTGGGGACCAGAGACCTTTGCTTTGCCATTCACCAGTAAAATCTGAAGGGTACGTGTGTGACGCACATTCAGCAACATCTCATCCAGAAACAGTGTCACAGAGGGGGCAGGGTTCATGTACTGCAGCTAGCCACCAGGGGGACTCCACATTAACATGCTGCTCATCTGTTCAGTTATGTATCTCAGTAAAGTAAAGGAGTTGTGTCTTCATCACAGCTGACAAGTGCATTGACCCTCAGGATGAATCCACAGAGAGAAGATGGGTCAGTCCCTGTGCAGCAGTGATTTTACTTGTCTTTGATTTGTGAATAATGAGGAGAGAGTAACAGTGGTTCATCCTCCATGATCACCAGCTGCTGTACAAACAACCAAACATTTGATTGAGATGGACAATAAACGGCTCCTCTTACCTTCTCACCACCTACGACTTTCTTCAGATTTCGGCATTCACCGCCGTCCACCTCCTCCTGCTCTGTTGTCATGGCGACAGGCTGACCAATCCCTGCCGAGTCCAGTGCCATATTCCCAAGCTGCTCGGCTGCAGCTAACTCAGGGTTTTCTTGGCCCTCGAACGGGCCGCCGCGAGGGGCCCCCAATGGCAGGATGGGGGCCAGGGTTTCCTTCTCAGTGTTAACCACTCCTGTGGCTACAACCTCCATTTTCTCCTTCTTAGTTTTCCCAGATATCCCGTCCTTGTCCTTTTTCACAGCAGGGAGGGCACGGGAGGGTTTACTAGATTTGTCAGTTCCCTTAGGAGGGGTAGAGTTGGGGTTCTGGGGTGGGGGGTCCCCGGGGGCCCGACCCTGAATCTCTTTCTTGGCTCCGTCTGAGACCGGGGCCTTAATGCTGTCCTTAGAGTTTTTACTGCGCTTGGATTTGGATTTGCTCTCTTTGGCCTGCGTGGCAGCCACAGGACTAACAAACTTTATATTGTCAGGTAAAGCAGCCACAGAGCTGGGAGGGGCGGCCATGCCCCCTCCCTCCTTACTGCTCGACATCTCTAGTTTGTCCTTCTCCAGGTCAGCGTCTAGGTCAATTATCAGATTGCCAACACCGATATCCCACTCATCACCGCTGTCGTACGTGTCCACCGCGTTAGAGTCCACACCTTTCCCGCCTGCAGGGCCGCTGCTGAGGGACATCTTAGTAGGAGCGTCCCGGAGCGCCGCAGGAGGGCCACAGGAGGGCCGTGCTCCTCCCAGCCACAGGACGCCTCCTCAGGGCTGGTCCCCGCGTCTCCTCCCTGGTCCCCACATCGTCTCCTGCACATAAAACAAAGAACAGGTTAGAGAGTGGACAACCACGTCCACGGAGTGCAGGCGGAGCAGCAGCATGCGTGTTAATGTTTGAGCTGCTGCGGAGAGGACGAGGGCTCTGCATCGATACAGTGACTGAACATAATCATGTTTTCTGCTAAGTTCATAGTTTTGGCGAGTTTCCACCGCTGAGGATTGTACGAGCAGGTTAAAATCTGATTTGTGCAGAAGTAAAAAACTTTGTACATAAGAATATTGCACATAAACAAAGATATGCAAAAAAGTTATTTTCTGGTTATTTGATTTATATCACAATTTATATCGATATCGACTGATATGAAAAGAAAAATTCCATATTGCCCAGCCTGACCACAAACATCTTATTTATCATCAATTGATCTTTATTGTCATTAAAACTATCAATTCTGTAGAAAAATCACGTAAAGAGTCAAAAAATCACAATTCCACACATCTCAACATTGTCAACTTTGGTTGAACCAACCGTCTGAAAGCTGAAGATGCTCCGTTCACAATGAACCACAACCAGACGTCACATCACACAGCTGTGATGTGACGTTGTGTCGACAGCAGCAAGTGATGAGTTTTAAATCAAACTCATAGCAGAGTGGATGCAGTCCATATTTACATTACTTCAAATGGAAACACACTTCGTGGCTCAATTCCAACGACTCTAATCAAAGTGCTACAAACAAGATTTAAAAAGTCAGTTATTGCACTTTCATGGTGATACTCCTAATAATGAGAAGGAGTTAGTGGTTGCAGCCTGGTCTCATGTTTCACTGTGTGTATTCAGACTGAGCAGCAAATATGTGAATTGAAAGTTTCCAAGCTCGTCCGTCATGGTCAGAGAGCAGGTCTGTCATTTCCTGGTGAAGTGGGAGGAGGAGGTTTATTGCCGTCAACATAAAAGCCGTATTGACCAGAGATCACAGCCATTCACGGAGAAGCCTTTTCCCAGCAGCACTCTGTGACAAGCGGCATGAGGGAGCAGACACATCCCTGCTCTAAATCCTCCTTCAGGCCACTTATCATACAAATGGACGCTGTGACCTCTGACCTCCTCTGACAATGCAGAGCCCTTTGAGTGATGGGAGGGGGAGGGCTGTAATGTTAACAGCCTGACTGACTCAACACCAATGCTAATTTGGCTAAAGGCTCTGGGTAACTCTGCGTAAAGCAAAGAGACGACAAGAAAAGTGCTAATTGAGCATGAACGCCAACCGAGAGCTTTTCCTGAGGAGGACCCTTCAGCAGGCACATCCGTAAAGGGGGGGGGGGGTCATCGTCTTCCTGAGGGGGGGCAGGTAGTGCTCGGCCTGTCCCGACAATTATCTTATCAACCCCTCCTGCAATGTATGGACATGAAAACCTCGATGTTGCCTGTTTGTTAAATGACCAGTGTTGGATCAGTGCACAGCTGTCAGAGAGTTCATTCACTCACTCAGTCACTAACAGTCGATAGTAAGGACGCTTCTCTTCTGAAGAAGCTCTGCAGTCAAATCTGCAGCACACTGATTTTGTTGCGTTTGTCTGGATTGAACTGGATTGAACTGGATTGAGTTTAGCCTGTGGGGGGGATGAAACAGATTTTCAACACACTGATTTAACTCTGAACACTTAGACTATTATTTCTGTCATTCAACAAAAAGTGTTACTGTGACAGGCCCAGGTAGTGTCTCACAAGAAGAAGACAGTTTACATTCACATGTTCGAGCTGCAACAACCATTGGAATCCAATAGATTCATCAGGGAAGGAAACGTCTCAGTCCAGACTCAAACACAACCTGCGGGGGCTTGTTTCAGTCTGCAGTCATGAACACATCGTCACTTTGAGTTCAAATGAATTTGACAGGGGCTCAATAACTGAATTTTGAAGTTCATGATAGTTTCTTATTTTTGTATAGACCTACAGGCTGACCTTTGACACGTGTGTCAGGAGTGTAACACCCTAACTGCTCAGTCGGCCCAGACACTGAAGCCTTCTCCACCTGCACCCAAGTAGCTGAGAAGACAGATGGTCAGGCAGGAGGAGGGGGTCATTGCTAATCCTGATGCTAACAACACAACGTCACAGAGACTCCAACAAAACACACAGCAAACACACAACATGGTGCAAACAGTGAAACACACACACGAGGCTCCACGAGGTCAGACAGGCAAAGAAACAGGTCCGATGATGTTTAAAGTGAAATCTTACAAACTGAGGAACATTTAAACCTTCAGCACTTCACTGATAACGAATCACACACTGCAAAGAAATAAATACTCAGTGACCAACTACTACATCGTTAAACACATCGTGATATAAAAGATTCCCACATTTGATTTGATTGATCAACCACCTGATTATTGATTTCTGCAGTGAAAACTGAAAATCTGATCGAATTATTAACCATGTTTTCTTATCCTCCAATTACAGATTTCCTGAATTCATTAAGCTGTTTTCAGACCTGCACTGCAATCCTGACATGTTCCTCACATGCTCCTGACATGTTCCTCACATGCTCCTGACATGTTCTGTGTGTGAGAACATATGTCAGAGTCAGTGTCTCTGGACATGTTTCTGGATCTTCTCCTGTAAAATGTCAGTGAGCGAGTGGGCGTGTCTCTGAGGTTTCTAACACGTGATGGACGTGAAACTGGAAGAACTAAAATGTCTCAGGATGAAGAAGAGGAGCCGCACACGTAGAGGACGAAGACGTCCACTCGGAAAGACGAGGAGGTTCCAGATGTTTTGGTGATGAGGGCCGACGCCGTGTGGACGAGCTGTAAACAACAACACTGATCTTTACACAGCAGAGTTTAGACCCCAAGTAGAAAAATGCCTCAAAAAACATCAATGTTTTTCCCAGGACCCAAATATATTCAGTTTATTATCGAGGGAGCCGAAGAAAAGCAGCAAACTAACATTGAAGCTGAAAAATGATGTTCAGAAAGAGGAGGAGTTTCTTGCCCTGCAGCAACTAACTTCCGAGTTAGAGTCCATCAGTGAGGAGTATCTTTATATGGAAATGAGCCTGAACTTTCCGGCCCCACCAACTGGAGCCGAGCTTTTCACCAACAGCAGAACAAATCATCCCGGCTTTGCAGATGGAAACTTGGCCCAGACTGCTCCACAACTCAACGCAGATGAGCCGGAACTCTAGCGAGCATCCTCTGACTCCGCTCTGCTGTAAACTACATGTCCCAGGTAGAGCGGGTCCTCACCCAGATATCCAGGAAGCTGCTACACTGGCTCTGTGTGGACTCCTGGGGAACGGTCTCTGGGTAAAACTGGTTTGAAACTGGTGTGGGAGCAGGATTTTTTAAGTTACTGGCTTGTATTCAGGAGGATAATCATTAGCTGAGGTGGGGGCAAGTTAACAGCTGTAGTTGACACAGAGTCTAAAACAAACAGACTTCAGGGAATCGACCCATGACTGGGCTGCAACTGCAAAGACGAGCGACTGAAAGAAACTCACACCTTATGACAAAGACCATTTCTAACCGACAAACCAGCCATTTGTAGATCACACCTGGTATTGAACACAGAGCTTCAGGCACAAGCCTGAGCTCTCAGTGCGACGCCTGTTTCCTGACACTGTGCAGGATGAGGGGGTTCAGTGTGAGAACAGGAGGCCGCGGTTTATTTTTAGTCCTGCTCTCATGCAAGAGCTCAAATCTTCCCACTGTTCAGGACAGTTACTCAGTGTCATCACTTCTGTGGCCATGGAACCACATCAGCACACTGACGACTCTCAGGAGCAAACACGGATAAAACTGGCAGATTCATTATTCATTTAAAAAATAGATTTGGTTCATCACCTTTGACGCAGAACATCAAGAAACAAATAAGAGGTATAGCAGGTTTCAAGCTTCGGCACTAAGTGTTTTCTAAAGGAAAAGAACAATTAAGCATGAAAGTTACAAGTACAAATAAAATTAAGAAACCCATGAAACACAGTTTGGAACACAACAGCATACAGCTAACTCCCCCAACAGCACTGAGCCCATACATCCGACAAATGAATCAGCATAAAATGATTACAAATAAATAAAGTGTGGTTAATGAGATGAATATAGGTTCAAATGTGGCTACAGGGACAACATGCTCAAGCAGGTGACATTTAAATAAAGGAATTACCAAGGTACGATGTAATTATAGAGCATGATGTGAGTATGTGCTGTATCGTAGAGGTCAGCACAGACGGCCCACAAGCAGTACAAGTTTAAATTCACAGTATTGGACTGACAGAAACAAAGATTTGTTCACAGCTGCTGATCTCCTCCATCTATTGAATCACTTCCTCTTAATCTAGTTTGTCTACAAAGTCATTAAAATGACAAATGAAAGGTTTAAACAGCAGCTCACAGGGCAAACATCCAGGTGAGCTGTGGACACTGAGGTTTTCTGTGAACTGTGACAGCCGACATGTGTTGAAGCGAACGCTATGTTAGCTTCAGGTGTCGAGTCCTGATGGATGCAGGCTGTTAGTGGCTAGCTTGTTAAAGCTAACGTATGAATCACAGACTGTATGTAAAGATGGACGACTATGGAACCATGAAAACTGTTCTTAGTGGTGGTTAAGATGTCGGCACTGGATGTGCTGCTGCCAGGACAAACCACAACTGGCTGGTTCTCTGCTGAAGGCCTCTCAACGTTAGTGTGCTGTGAATGAATCCACATAACTCAGTGCCGCTGCCTGTGACCTGTTGTCACAGCTTCTTTAAATGATGTGGAGGCTGTGACCTGCGGGTTACACACTGTCAGGTTTACAGTGAGCGGACCCGGAGGAGAAGAGAGTCAACAGCTGGAGAGCTCCATGAAGAGGAGTGACGAGCCTCTGTCATTCTAAATCCCACCTCGATGGTTCCATGGTTGGTGATAAACGTCTGTGTTTCATCTCAGAGCTCAAGGGAAAGAGGAGTGTGAAGAGGGGATCTTAAAGAGTGGAACCTTTATCAAGAAACATTTGTGGTAGTGTAGATCAGATGCTCCGGTTGTT